TTGTTCATCAATCCAAACAAATACCACTGACTTCAAAATGCCTTGGTTTCATTTGTGTCTTTTAAAACATTCTATCATGCAGGGAAAATGGGTTATTAAATCTCATTTCTTCAGGTGTGCCGAACACGATTTGTACAATCTCCAAGGAACCAAAAGAGTTAAACTTTACATTACCAGCTCTTTCAGGTGTCCTGATCTTAGACTCCTTGCCTTTTGTCCTCAATAATAATGTGTGAACTTTCCAAAAACAACATGCTTGTTAATTAGTTAATGTCTAAATCACACACACATCCAGCCTGTTAAATTATTCTTGGTTCAGAACAAAACTGAACAGTAGATGATATCAAAAACTCCCCTTAGACATCTGTGACAGAGTTTGCAATGTCTCAAGTGAGCAGGTGCAATTTGTCATAAAGACAAAAATATATCATTATCAGATGGTTTTAATAGAAGAACTTTTTATAAGCTGAACTAAAAATGGGCTGGATCGGTTGAGAAGTTCTGTGCAGTGCAAAATTAAGCTCCCAAAGAAAAACAGTGAGTCATCCTGGGAAAATAATCACCATTTATTTTCTAGGTTTAAAATGTTGGGTAATCCCAGTAATCCTTACAGGTCATCCAATATTCCCCTCCCACTCCCTCCTCCTCCAAAGAAGAGAAATTGCCTAAAGCAAGTAGTACAGCTTGTGTTCCTCTGATGTAGCTAGAAATTCTACAAATTTCATTTGAAGAGATTTAATTGTAGAGCATTTTTAAACAAAACAATGAAAAGTGGTTGTGTAGTATTTGTCCAAACAGAGATGGAAGGGAAGGGAAGGGAAGGGAAGGAGGTGGGATATTGTCAAAGTTGGTAAAAGCTGGAGCGAGAAAGCAAGAGATATGATACAATTGTCCAATAATCTTGGGGTTTTTTTTCTACTATCACAAAGTTTTTTGGCTAATTTAGCTTAGTAATGGATTTCCTACTAAAATGCTCCTGCTGCTTAATTTATTTAATTTAAATTGTTTTAGCTTAGCTTTCTACTACAAGACATCCAAACTGGCTAATGAATGTGAGATACACAGTATGTAAATATAGTAAATGTTCAATAAATGTAAAACAAAAGGGACAATATTCTCCATTACAAAGCAAGTAGGACTGGAGAAAAGCCAGATCTTCGCTGGTGTGCAACCAGGTGTCAGGGGGGTGGGGGTGGGGAGTGCAACTGCACAAGAGGGAAGGGGAAGTGCAACCATGGAAGTGCCACCAGTTTAGTTTTAGGAAAAACTTTTGCAGCTCTTCAGAAAATTAATTTGAGAACAAGCAATCCTTACGTTTGGCCTAAACTTTAATGTAACCCTTTAATGGTAAATCTTTCTGGATGCTATTGTTAACAAAGCAAAAATCCAATGAAATTAGCATATGGAAATGTGAAAGCATCATTGTGGAGTCTGAATAATCCTTCCCAAAACTGCTACTTTTGCTAAACTGCAGGGTGATCTCTTTTACTCTCTGCAAAAGTTTAGATATTTACATAAAATGCTTTTTTTTTAAGGGACACCATTTTGCACATGCCTTCGGGATTCTGATAGGATGAAGAGGAGAGGAGAGGAGAGGAGAGGAGAGGAGAGGCTGGAAGGAACCTTGGAGGTCTTCTAGTCCAGCCCCCTGCTCAAGCAGAACCTATACCATCTCAGACAAGTGACTGTCCAGTCTCTTCTTAAAAACCTCCAGTGCTGGAGCGCTCACGACTTCTGAAGGCAAGCTGTTCCACTGGTTAATTGTCCTCACTGTTAGGAAGTTTCTCCATAATTCCAGGTTGCTTCTCTCTTTGACTAGTTTCCATCCATTGTTGCTTGTCCTGCTCTCTGGTGCTTTGGAGAATAATTTGACCCCCTCTTCTTTGACCCCCTCAAATACTGGAATACTGCTATCATATCACCCCTAATTCTTTTCTTTAGACTAGCCAGACCCAAAACTGCAGCCGTTCTTCATATCGTTTAGTCTCAAGGCCATACTGTACATTAGAAAATAAGAGAAAGATGGGAGAAGAAATTAACGTTTGACTGATAAGCAGCAGTGTAGGGGAAAGTGTGCTCCTTCTGTGTAAATGTTCACAACCAGGGAAAGTTACAGGGTGTTCTGCTTTTTTAACCAAATTTAGAAATTCATCAGACTAAGTAATAGGTACACTAGACATAGTTCCCCATCTCTCTGAATGTAGCATTACAGATTTTGATTCAAAATACTGAAGTGCACATTTGAAATTAAAACAAGAAAATAATGGATATTAATGTATCCTTAGGATAGTCACACGTTTAAAAAACACAAGAACTATACCGCATCTTCCCCAAAGGTGTTAGATTGCGTTTCTCATCAATTTCAGTTACCTTGGCCAAATATTTTAGTCTAGTAAATCTGGAAAGTGTCAGCTTGGGGAAAGACTAATTTAAGCCATCTGTCTTCCAATCCTTTTTAGAATAGTTGTTGCCATAAAATGAAGGCACACTCTTCCTCAAGATGGGCTCAGCTTCTGGTAACTATCTGGCCATATCGGCATTGTTTTCTTAGCACCAACAGGGAGATAGTTTGCCATTGCCCTCTTCTGGTGATGCTTTTAGACATCATCCCAGTCAACCATGAGATTTCATGGTGAGGTTTTATGGATAGTCATCAGGTACAAGCACTTGAGCTTTTGAGCACATTGACTCTTCTTGTCATAGCATCATGAAAATGTTTTTTTCTTAATCTGCCAATTTCACCTCCCCTATATCTCTGTCCATTTCTTTTCCTTAGCACTTTTTCATATGACTTCATATCGCTCTTTAGAGATTCAATCAAAACCTTGGCTTTCCAAGGACATTTCTACTACCCACTCCTCTAGCACAAAGCCAGTGTCTAAGAACTGCAATCAAGGGCCTGGTTTCCCCCCCTTTTGGGGAGGGGGTGAGAGGAAAAGAATTGATCTGTGTGGGTGCAAGCAATTCCAACTCTAGGCTTCAGTTGAAGTCACAGTACTCATTTTGTTCTTGGCATTCAAGAACACTTGAATACCAGTTACCTCCATGTGTCATCAGAAATATGCCTCAGTTCAATGGCATTTACTTCCAACCATTTATATAACGACCAGCATTACAACTTGATTGAATGTCCTGATTGACTTGTACCAGGGGTGAAATTCAAACTTTTTCCCTACTGGTTCTATGGGCGTGGCTTGGTGGGCATGGCAGGGGAAGGATATTGCAAAATCTCCATTCCCACCTGTCTTTGGGGCCAGCCAGAGGTGGTATTTGCTGGTATTTACTGGTTCTCCGAACAACTCAAAATTTCCACCCTTGACTTGTACCTATGTGCCAGTTCATAATGACTAGTCTTGTACCTGGCACAACTGCAGCCCATGATTAGCACATTGTTTGTTCAACCTACTTTAGGAATTTTTTCAGAGCCTATGCTCCACTGGCTCATCTGATGATGATTTCTCTGCAACAATATACTGAATACTGGTGGAAACTGAGCAGCTCAGTCTTATAGGAACCGTGTCAAAGGGCCTTTTCTTACTATCCTTTCAAACTGGGCCCAGGGAAGCCTACGTATGGAATGCACGTGGGCTTTCAGCAGATGCCTTGGGACTGCTTCCAAAGCAGCTCTTATGAGAAAAGCCAATGTGCTAATAGGCTTCTCATGACTGTTCCCATAACTAGCAGCAGCATCTTGGCATATCCACAGGGTACCATGCCAGACCTTGTCATAAGAATCAGCTGCTGTGGTTTTGTTGCACATGTCCTGCCTGCTTGCCCTTCTCCTTACCAGAGACCAGGTAGAAGTGTGTGTGTGGGGGGGGGACGGGGACTGGGCTGCACCCATATCAAAACATTCTGAGATCACTGATGGATGATTTCATGACCACCTCCAGGAGCTCTCATCCAATATTTGCCAACTATGTCTTCTGGGATTTGAAAGAAAACAAAAAAATGTTTCCCAGTCCAGAGCCTACAAAATCTCCCATGAGGTTTCCCATACAAGTATTAAACTGCCCTTATCCTGCTTTTCTTCCAGTCCTAGTGGAGTCAGGTAGATGCTGTGTGTTTTTGGGCACAGGAAGGGGCACAGGGCAGTGTATGATGACTGAGTAAGTAAAATTATTTTGATCCAGACTTTGGATGAAAAATGCACAATGCCCATATCATGCCACGATTTACGTCTGATTTCATCTTGCCAGAGGTAGAAAGCAGGCAAGCCTGCTTTCTCTTACCCAAGCAAAAAATACCAAGTCCATTCTTTTTTTCAACCACCACAAGTTATTTAAACCAATCTCGGTCTGAGGCTGAATCGTTATCATTTTCCCAGGGGTAAATTAATTTACTATGCTGCTGGCAAGATTTATGCCAAAAAAATAAATAAAAATCATTCCGCTATGTTGTAGCGCATAAGGTATCTCCTGCCAGCCTTTTAAGTGTTATTTGTGTCTCTCTCTTTGTGTGGGTGGGTGTTTGGAGCTCAGAACTCCGGTTTATAGTTGGAGAAAGCTGTTAAGCATTGGAGCTATCACCTTCCGCCGACAGCCTGCGTGTATAATTTTAAATACCTATCACTTTATGGAGGGATGCAATATGTAGCACGTTCACGCGACCTCCCGAGAGCTGGTGGGGAAAAGCTCCCCCCTCCGTCCCGCCCCCCCCAAAAAAGCAGCCCCAGCAGTCAAGACGCCCAGCGAGAAAGAGGCCTCCGCGCCGGACTTGTTGCTTCTGCCAAGAGCCGGGCGTGGGCTGCAGCCGAGAAAGTCGGAGCCGGACCAGTGCAGCAGGAAGGGACGGAGAAAGGCTTATGCAGCCTCTGCCCATCGCCGCGCCTTCGCTTACCCCGTTGGATCCCGGCCGAGTTCTGAACGTGGACTGCGCGGCGCTTCGCGGGCTCCCCCCCCCCCACTCCCCCTCCCTCCCCTGTCGGTGTGTTTTGTTTAAATGAGAAACATAGAAGGGGCGGGCCCTGGGCGAGTGTGTAATCGGATAGCTCTGCCTTTCTGTCTGACATCCACATGCTGCTCTGCCTGAAAAGGCTGCGAGGAAGCCGAGGCGGAGGCAAAGAAAGGGAAGAGCCGCCAACCCCGCACCAGCGTCCGCACAGCTTCAGTCGAGACCCCACGCGTCGGAGGAAGGAGGCGGCGGCGGCGGCGACAGAGCACCACTCGAGGAGTCGTTCGCGGCGCCGCATCCGGAAAACGCCTCTGGCGTGAAGCTGACCGGCAGCCGCCTTGAGAGCGCGAACTGGCAGCGTGTTGGGATCAGGGAGGGGGGGAAGCAGCCGGGCGCCGCGGGCTGGGAAATCACCACCACCCTTCGCCGGGAGCGCCCTGCGTTGCGCTCTCGCTCTCCGCCGCCAGGCTCGGGCGAGGACTGTGAGGAGGGGGGGGGTGCGCGGCTGGTTGGGTGCGATGCCAAGGCGGCCCGTTTTTTGTTTTTTTTTCGTGTTTTTTTTCGGCGGCTTTGCGGAGAACCTCGCCGGTGATGCGGCGCTGAAGGCAACGGGGCTCTGAAGAACGGGGCTCTCTCGCGTGCTCTGGCTGTACGTGTGTGCGCGGTTCTCCTCCTGCGCCGTGTGTCGCCGGCTGTGCGCGCCTCAGCAGGGCTGCCGGGCGCTTCTTCTTTTTTTTTTTTCCTGCTGAAACGTCAGGAGTTCCCTCCAGCTCGGCGATCTTTTGGGGAAGTGGGTTTATTGCGGAGCCGAAGGGGTGGAAGCCCCGGGACGGATTTGAAACCTCGGCAGAGGAAATTCTGGGACGGAATCCGCGTCGTCTCGGAGACTTGCGAAAGAAAAATCCCGCTCTCCCTCACCCAGCGCGGCTTGGGAGGAATCGCTCTTTTTTTTTTCCCCCATCAAGGGTTTCTCCATCCTTCCCCGAAATGGATACAGTTCCTCTGCTCTGGGGATTTCTCCTCCTTCGTTTGGCCGGATCGGGAGTTTTGGGGCAAGCAGTAGGTAAGACCTAAGGATCGCCACTTCTATTTTAAAAGACACGTCCAACCTGCCTCTGTCAACCAATTTCTTTCAAGGGAGATGGGGAAGCGACCAATCCGGGGTTACTCAGCCAGATTCTGTTTATATCTACGGCCGTAACTCCGCTCCTTTACAAAAAAACAACTTAAGCTCCACTTGAGTTGGTTGCAAAATGGATGATGACTTTGTAACAAACTGAAAAGTCTGGGGTTGTTTTTAGCTGTGCATGTCACATATGGAATAAATCAAAGATCTAAACATACCACAAAGTCCCCCTTGCTATGTAATTTTTGTGGAGGCGGAGAGAAAATATAACTTCTCCAAATCTGTCCTGTCTTTAACAAAAAGGCATAAATCATTTCTAAATGTGAGATACGTTTCAGATTTACATTTCTAAAATAAGAAAATTCCGACTGGGGTGGTGCTGGAAGGGAGATTCCCTTCTAGAAATAGGAAAGTTTGCGTTTTCCAAAGTGAGTGAGTGAGTGGCTTGGATTCGGGAAAGAACAGCCGACCGCATCTTTTCTGCTTAATATCTAAGGAATAGAGTAACCGAGGACGTCCTTTGCATATGTTCCTGCACGTGCACGCACGCGCATACAGGTGTACTTTCTTCCACGGGGAGAAAGAACTTTATACAATTTTGGCTGAAAACCCTTGCAAAACGGTTAGAAACTTTTCTGGATGAATTTACTGGCCGAAAAGGGCTGCAAGGAACAACCGAGCCAATCCATACGGCGCATTTTAAGTCCTCCTGTCTATTTCAAACCGCAGTGAATTGTTTAGAAACATCTATTGCTTCTTTAAAACTCTTCCAGCGTTGTTCCTGAAAGAAAAAGGGAGGCTGGAACTAATCTCTGATTACCGGTGAAGAGGGCGCGCTAAACCCACCCATCCGCCTTAATTACTCCTTTGGAGATATCAGGCGCTCCTTTCCTCTAAATTGGTTACTGAGCGGTCAGTGAAAACTGATAAGGCAGATCAGACCCACAAGCAACAGGGCTGGGGAGGGGAAGAAGAGCCAAGAATCACCAGCTTCGTCCAGCGAAGTGGAGCACCTTAAGATAGTTTCGAAATAGCGGGGGCGGGGGCGTCCTGCGCCTTTGAAGCGAATAGAATACAAATTGTTCGCGGCGCGGTTCCAAGTCGATTCCAAAGGGAGTCTGATTCCATTCGAGGTCTGCTTGGGCGCCGCGCAATTCTGCGCACGGTTCCTGCACTAAAAAGTCTCCGGGAGTTACGTAGATTGTCGACCGGCACGCAGGGCGGGTGGCTCCCAACCATCAGGCTAGAATCGGGTTATGGGACGAAGACGGCTTCATTTTGTCGGTGAAAGAAAGCCGCCGCTCGCTAGGCCTTAGCCGGGCGCCAGGGTTTCTTTTGGCCCGAAAGCTTTCCCCAAGGATGGCAGAGCGCTTTGGCCACAGCCCAGAAAAACCACCCAGCCACACCACAAAGTTCCCGCGTCAAAGCCCGGCACCTCTAAGGGGGGTTGGAAAGCCGGCAACGAGACGGGTGGGCGAGGACCAACTTCGGGCGGGCTGCAAGGCAAGGTGGCAGGCGAGACCTCCAAAGGGCTGATCCAAACGAAGCCGCCGGAGAAAGGCTGGCTAACGTGTCAGTGAGGCGGCGAAGTAAGGAACGTTAAGAGTGATGGGCGGGAGGGTTGCCTCCTTTTTAACGCTCCCTCCCGACCTCCCTCCTCGGTCGGCAGAACGGCAGCGCCCTCAGCCTCGTGCCTGTTCCCCGGGAGGAGGGAGAGTCTGAGAGCCCCGGTGCAAAAGGTGGCCCTGGCTACATTCCCCGGGGCTCGCCGGGGCGGCGCTTCCCGCAGAGTCCAGGGCGTGCTACACACCGCCACCGCCGCTCTCGCTTTTGGCGACGACGAGCCTTGAGGCAGCGCCCGCCGCCCCTCCGAAGCGACGGGCAGAGAAACGCCTCGAGTCCCACCAGACGAAGGGGCCTTGCCCTGCCGCCAGTCTCGGCCACTTTTGCGGAGCTTCGGCGCTGCCCCCCCCCCGATCCTATTTAAACAGCCGGCTAAACAAATCCCCTCGGGAGTCCGCGCGGCATCCGTGAGTCCCGTCCTCCGGCAATCTTCTCAAGCCAAGTTCCCCCGAGGTCAGTTGGGCCAGGCGGTGCCTTCGCTTTGGGCGGCCTGAGGTTTGCGCCCGAGCTTCCCGCGGAAGTCTGACCGAGAGGGCTTGCGAGGGCCGTCCCGTCGCCCGGCCTGGACTGCCATGTTTTCCTCCAACGAGCCTCTCCCGCCCTGGTGCCCCTGGCTATTGGACGCCGCACAGCTCTTTAGGGGAAAGAAGCCTCCAAGGCTGGGCGGATCACAAGACCCACAACTATTAGGCAAGGCGGGTGCGGGGCAAAGGCTTGCTGAAGTGCGCTAATGCTGGCCCTGGTTGCGCTGTCTGACTCCCCCTGGCTTCCAAAAGGGACTACCGGGCTACCCAGCCTGGAAGCTGCAGCTGATGGAAATACCCCCCCCCACGCCCCTGCCTGGGAAAATCCGAAGTGGCCGGTGAGAATCGAGGCAAGCCCTTTCAGTTCTGAATCAGGGGGTTCTGGTCACTTGTTTCTGCCCATGATAAAAATCCTCAAATGAAGGAACAAGAAAATAGTCCCCGGGTTTCTGCTAAGTTATTCTTTTGAATAAGAAAAAAAATGGCAAGTGGCGCATTCCTATCAGTTAGATGAGCCCTTAAGCTTAAAGGGTTGGAAGCCTGAGATGAGGGTGAATAATGCCTGACAGCCCTTTGCCTGCTAGAGGACCCTGGAAGGGCCCTTTTCCTTGCAGCCCTGAGCGGACTATAGCTATCTCAGCAGCAGAGGTTGGGGAATCTCCCCAGGGGAAGTTCTTCCCCCTCACCTCCCCAGCCCAGCCTGGTGATTTCAGGGAAATCAGCAACGTGATTGAAGTAACGGAGGGAATAAGGGGCAGAAAGGGTGATGAATGTGTCGTAAATGCTGGCTTGTTTCTGAATTCTTGGCACTGGTGCCTTGCTGCAGAGGGTGGCTGCCTTGAAGGCTGCAGCAGCCCTGTGTTGACAGCAGACTGGGTTTTTAAAATCTCATCTCGCCCGAGGTTGAGGCCATAGGAGCTGGGCACTGACAGATGTGTGTTACTGGTGTAGGTTTTTCAGAGAATGCCCCTCTCGTCTCTGCTCTTCTGTAAGCCCTGGGCATCTGTGTAGGCTGAACAACCTATGTAGCCTTTTCACTTCCAGGGCTTGGCCATTTTGGCAGCCATTCAGGCAGGAGGAACTGAAATTTCACAAAATAATATACATGGCCTCCTTTGAAGAACAAAAAAACATGCCTCAATTAATTGAACAAATGATGATTGTGCTGGGACATACATTGTGGGGTGTGTGTGGATTTTTAATTTGAATCCTTATTGCTAAATTGAAACAAAAAGTCTTTCCCAACCATCAGAAGTTTCTCTTTGGGGAACTAAGAAGGTTGGGTAGGCTTGTTTACTACTCTTATCAGAAGGAATTTATTCCAACAGCCCTCCTTTTTTTCTCTCCCCATAGCATCTGCATAGGGAGTGCTGTGGATGGGGAAGGAGTGGAGATTTAGCAGGTGGGGATTGGCAAAAGTAGCTTTTTGGTCCCTCTCAGCTGTTAGGGTTCTGTGAATAAGGAGCTCTTCCATTTTCCTCTGCAGCTGTTGTCTTCTGAAAGTCCCTGCTTGTGCATTTGCAGGATTTGCTGGAAAAACTGCAGATGTAGGATTTTTGCACCCCCTCCCCCTGCAATTCGATGATTTAAATTTTCTGGGGACTAGGAGGAGTTGTCCATATTGTTAAATCCCAGTCAGAGCTTGATGGAAACCAAATGGCATTGTTAACAGGTTTAGAAGAAGTAAAAGCCTTGGACTTTTGCCAGCGGGACTGGTGAAACAGTCACGAATGCTGCTTTTCAGTGCTGCTTGTGAGTTAAAACATGGCAGCTCAGGAGGGAGATGCATTGGAAGCTCCTCTTTGCCCAATCCCTATGGACATCCTTTTGCAAACTGGGGGAAGCAGGCAAGAGGCTGTCCCTGCGTGTAGGGAGAATCATCTCTTTTGCCCCTTGGCATTGATTTGCAATTAAGAGATGCAATTTTCTTACTAATATTTTTTTTAAGCAGGGTTTAACATTTTGAGTAAGAGGCATTGTGGGGGGGACAAGAGGCATTTTGGGTTGCTTGCAAAGCCTTTGGACATTTTTAGAATATTGGAAAACTTCTTCTGATATGATCAAGGTGAAGGACTATGTTGCATGTTATGTTAGCCATCAAGCAGTATGTATGTGTAGTATGTGTAGGAATCTAGACATTGTGGAATCTCACCTTGAACTGTGAGTTGGGTGGCAAATAAATTTGATAAGTAAACAAAACATAGTCTTTGAAGCTAGTTTCAGCAGACTATGGTTAAACAAGCTTACTATAAAATTTGAACTCAGCAAGTTCAGAGAGTTTAAAAGATTTCCAAAAACAGAAAGAATTAGGTAGAATGAAGAATGTCTCCCTCATATTTTATTAGCTTTCTGTTTTGTAAATTTTAAAACGTATCAGGATTTTTCAAGGACTTGTGTTGCGTTAGCTTTGCTGCTGCTGTAAGACTACTGTAAAACGTGTTTAGCATGTCCAGCTGCAGTTTAGCATTTGCTGTGTTCAAGAAAATGATACACAAGTGGCATTAATTATGGGTAACCATGGAATGCAAGGTAGCTGTAGCATTTATGATGCATTTCTTTCCATTATGGGCTTCTGTGCTGCTAAATCGTAAGCCCACCGATTTAAGGCTAAATGTAAGAGATACACAGAAATTTTGGTATTATACTCTATATGGGGGTGGGGAGAAGTTGGGGAATGTAGAAGGAGCTCTCTCATTTGGGGACTTGAACCACTCTGGTCTCTTGTCACCCTCAGGAGCAATTTCAGTTGCAAATGAACCTCTGCCTGTTGTTGCTTTTCCCAATGAGGAGGAAATTGTGGCTAATGCTTCATTTCAGCTGATTGATTTCTCCTTAATACCGACATAAAGTTAATAGAGGAGAGCAGAGCTGTGATTAAGCTATATAGCCCCAGTTGCTTGACTTGGTTTGATTGAATCTCTTTTCTTTACAAATATAATCAAATAAATCTGATGCTTCTTTTGGAAGAAGAAAGCTGTTTAATGGTAAAGAGGAGGATGAGAGGGCAACTTGCAGGCCAAGCTGGTTTTAATTCTACAGGCTTTGATACATCCACATCAATGTAGATGAGTTAGGAAGTCATTCCCTAAGGGGGCCTAGTCAAAATAATTCAACACGGGTGCAAATAATTGCTCAATACTCTATAATCACTCCTCAGTATTTCCATAAATGAAGTGAGAATTCAAAGGTTGATTTCCTAGCAATATGAAACTCTAGTTGTGCGTACAGAATTGGGTATGAGAGTGGGAATTATTACAGGTTAGCTAACTTCCTCTACAGTTAGTACAGATGGAAGGCACAGCAAGAACATAGTGTATCTGCCTAAGTAAAGTTGAGTACTTAAAATGTTGTATTTTCCTTATCCAGAAGAAATAGGAGCAAGATTTGAGTTTTGCATTCTGTCTCTTATACAAGTAGTCCACAGTTTTCTTATGTTCTAATCTTAACCCAGATTACTTCTCAGAGAGAGGAGTGGGTGAGTGAATCTTCTCTCTAGAGCCATTTAATCCTTGCCCTTTGGGCTCGTTCCTCCAATTAGTTCTTGTAATAGGGAGGACATCTGCTGGTTTAGGGCATCAGGTACAAGCTATGAGAAACTCATATGCTGTACTCAATAGGGTAACTTTGCTGGCAGAATTTGTGAGGTTCATCTTTAGTTTCTAAACTTGAGAGGGAACTGCCAAGCTTCTGAAGATCAAAACGCCACATAACCAAAAAGCCTGTTTTTTTTTTGTTTGTTTTTTTGCTTTTATTTACTCAGGCAATGAATTTTTAAAATGCTTTTCAAAGCAGTTTACGGGTAGGACTCTTGCACTTTGCTATCAGTAAAACAAGCCCATTAAATCAATTTTAGTCAAAGAATGAACCAGCTTTAATAAAATGCAATTTAAAAAAATCCTATGCCAATTCCAAAACATTATTTAATCAACCCAATTACTAAATATGATAAAAATTGACGATGGAAACCCAAACAATAGAAACGAGAGGAAGCAGGGCTGCTGGAGGAAATATTCAGATTCTGTCTTGGTCTGATTCTAATACAGCTTCCTTTGTCCAAATATATCCCTTTTTTCCATTTTGTTTGATTATTTGTTTTTCTGAATAATTGCTCTATAACCATATTGGCCAAAAATCCACAGTAAGGCAGCTGACCTTGAAAAAGGCTAAATAGGATTAGGGCTGGTTAATATTTCGGTAGGACATTACTAGCAAATTTCTGGGCTCACCTAAACTGTGTTTTTATATACTAAAATGTCTCCAAAAGAAAGTATTGACAAACCACTCTTGTATGGTTGCCAATCTTGTATGATTGCATAGGTGTCTGTGCCATCTCCAGGTTGAGCTTCACTGAGAAAGTCTTTATCTTCCCCTAAGGATGTTCAGGCTTGGCAATTTCTAAGCCAGGGTGGCTAACAATCCAGCTATAAAGGAGACCCAGGTGA